ACGTGCGTGAGGCGAGTCGTTCCGACGGTAGTGGGTTTCGTAAAACCTAGCCGGGCCGGACCGGTCCACGTAAAAAGACAACCACGCCGCCAGCAACCACGCCCTCCGGGGCGCCGCCGTCCCGCCTCCCTTCCGCCCTGTCCGACGACATCCACTACTCTCCGTTCAGCAGCCCCGAGCGGGCTCGCATGGTCACCCTACACGGCTACATTGAGAGTAAGTGACCGCGACAACTTGGCCGTCGGACCTTTGGGAAGGGGGGAGAGTGGAGGAGTGCGCGTGGGCGGCCGAGCTATGGGGACGCGATGCTGAGCCTCGTGAGTGGAGATGTTCCGCGCAGCCGTTCCGACCTGGTGGTTGGGGAGAGGAGTTAAGTTCCCCAGCTCTGCCTCAGTGGGGTTAGACCCTTGATAGAGACAAGCCATTCACCATTCAAAAAATACTTTCCAAGAACCCACTCTGTGCCAGGGCCCAGAGACTAGGGAGAGAATAAGATGGATAAAGTCCCTGCCTTTGTGGAGCCTGCGTTCTGGTGGGAGAGACATGAAGCAATACCAGATTGATGAACGTTTGGTTTTTATTGTGTTAATTCCTCTGGTAAAGATGCTGAATGGGAATGTCTGGAGATGTCACCTCTCAGCAGGCTGAGACCAGAAGGATGGGTAGGAATCACTGAGACACAAAGAGTGGGGAAATAGAAGTGCAGGCAACAGGAACCGAATGTAGGCAGAAAGCAGCGTGTCATGGACCTTGTGCACAGTTCGGGCACACTGTGGGGTTGTAGAAGAAAGCCAGTGTGGCAGGAGTACCCAGGGCTCCTGGGTGCTGCAGTCTAGGTAAGTCAGCTGACCTCCATGAACCTCAGTTTCCTCATCTGTAAACTGGGACATCAGTAATGCCTACCTCACAGGGTTGTGAGGATCTGCTCCTGCATTCAGCGAATATTTGTTGAATGTCTTTTGTACTCTAAGCACTGGGATACGACAGAAAACATCACAGACCAAACCTGTGTGCTCCTGAGGCTCACATTGCAGGATGGGAGTGGGGGAGAGACAGTAAACTAATAAAGGAGGGAGGGCAGGCGTGTCAATGGGGACTGGGCACTGGGAGAGAAATGAGGTGGCAGGTCATGGCGGAGTGACCTTTGAGCAGGAAGAAAGATAGAACCTTCTGCCTTTCTAGGGGATGAACAGGTGACAATCTGCTATTGAGCAGATGCTTATCACAGACTTTCTTTCCCTTTGAGGCTGTTTCCATTGATTGTTGCCACAAAGCTGGGCATGACCAGAAAAATAGAAGTGGTGACAACATACCCACAAACTCAAACCCTCCCTTCTCTGGCTCCAAGTAAATGGGAAAGAGATATGAGGTCGGAGAGAGCACAGCTGTGTACTGAGTCCCTGCCATGTGCCAGGCACTGTACTAACACATGTTTCTAAACCTCAGAGATCACCATCCCATTGTACATATGAGGAAACTAAGGGCCTGCAGTAAATTAGTGGGAGTCAGGATTCCTTAATGATCGAGAGTGCCCTTTAGTGTCAGACTCTGGGGCTTCAAATCCTGTCCCTGCCACTTACTAGCTGTGTGACATTTGACAAGGTTCTTAGCATCCCTAAATACCAGTTTCCTCATCTGTAAGAATGAGGACAGTAAGAATCCAATCTCTTTAAAAAAAAAAGTCCTTATTTCACAGCAGTGTTGTGAGCATCAAATGAGATCACTGACCTAATGTCTTTAGCATTTAGTAAGTGCTGGATAAGTATTAGCTGCTCTTGTGATGGTGGCAGTGGTTCTGGCTGGCAGAGCTGGGAGTGCAGAGTCCTGCCTACCATACCAGGCTGCCAGTTGGAAATCATGTCTCTTTGTTCTGTTCCATTTCTGAACCATCTGCTCAGTAGGAGGGACTTTATTCTCCTTTTCTCTTCTAAACAATGACATGTTCAGGCTGCATAGAGCCCACTGATGATCAAGTTTATCTGTTAAAGGCATCAAGGACCAGGGATCTCTAGGTACCAAGAGTCTGGGCCAGCAGCCAGCACTTGTTGTGGAGTTAGAAATGGATCTAGGTGACCCCGTGGGGAGTGGGGCCTTGGCTTCCAGAATCACGCCAGGGCTCTGCCCAGATACTTTGTTGGCCAAGCCTGGAACTGTCTTGGACACCTAGTGAAGGGCCTGAGCCCTTTCCTCTTCCCATCCAGGTGAACCCAGCTTGGGGCAGAAGGTGTCAAGGGTGTTTAGACCCACTACCTCTTGCTGAATGACTGAAGGTCACCTTAGCAATTTAACTTGCAGTTCACTGAATTCAGTTTCCTCGGTTTTCCAGAGCTTTTGAGCCTCTGGAATCTAAAAAAAGAGAAAAAAGAAAAAAAAGAAAACTTTGGAAACAGACCCCAGAAATATGTGCACACACATAGTTTCCCAAGTAATCTCAGGCTGTTCATGGACCCCTAGAATCCCCCAGGTTAAGACTCACAAATCTTGTACAACCACTTTATTCTATAGATGAGGGGACTATGGCTCAAAAAGGCACAGCAACTGGTCTTAACTTCCATGTCAATTGTAAGTCTCTGTACAGGGTTCTTTCCCCTGTGACCAAAGAGGATGAAGTGCAGAGAACAGGGAGGACACAGACTTCTCTTCTCCACTGTAGTGGTAAAGAGGTAGAAGCATGAGAGCTTCAGGTCAGACATCAGGATGGACTTCCTCCCACAGTTTTAGATGTTGGAATAGGGTACAGAGATTCAGTCAACAAATAGTTAAAGAGTACCTACTAGAGGCCATGCCTCATTCTAGGTACTGGAAATCTACACTGATCTAGAATCTAGAAAACAGGCAAAAATCCCCCCAACCCCCCCAACCCTGCTCATTGGAGCTTGCATTGTAGCTGGCAAAGACAGATATTATCAAATAAACAACAGAAATAGATGGTAAGTCAGATGATGGTAAGGAGGAAAAATAAAGCTAATAAGGAGGAAAGTGGGGTGGGGTGGATATTGGTGTTGGGTTGCAATTGTGAATAAAGAAGGTGACAGGTGAGTGCAGGGTCTTTTAGCTGGTCTCGGGGGAAAATTTTGGTGATTGGGAGATAAGGAGACACAAAGCACTGAGAGAGGATCCTAATGGATGGGGTACAGCCTTGTGTGTAGGAGATGTTCTGTACATATTCATTTATGAGTGTTTATCAGTGAGCCAGACTGTTACCATATAGCACTTTATAGATAGATCATAAAGACTTCCACATTGCAGCCAACCCTATTGAAATTTTGCCCAGGGCCACCCAGCTGCTAAGTGGCAAAGGTGAAACTGGCCCCAGGACTCCAGCCTGCCCAGCACGGGGCTGGTGGGATCCTGCATGGAGGCCGGGGGATGGGCTCCAAGGCATCCTCTCGTCCACAGGTCAGGTACAGTGCGGGCAGGTGCACTGCCGGCTGCCTTACACCGCGCCCCCGGTCCACCTCAAAGCTGATATGGATGGGCCACTCTCCAACCGGGGTGAGAAGGTAAATGGAGCCAGGTTGGGTCTGGTGGGTCAGATCCACCCTCCCGGGATGGGTTTCTAGCAGGACTCTCATCACTGAGTGGGCACCATGCCACTTTGTGGCAGACCCTCTGCCTAGCATACTCAGGCCCCCGCTGTTCCCTCAAGGCAGTCCCTTGAGCAGGTGCCACTGTGTTCCATGTGCACAGCCAAGCTCCTTGCGGCCTCCTGCTGATGGCTGGCTTTCTCTTTTTCAGATTTGTGGATTTAGTTTCTTTGCTCAAACTTTGCAGTTTCAAGGAGGGCTTATGTAAATCACACACCACCCTGCCTCCCACCATCTCACGGGTTCCTCTTACTTCCTCCTTTGTATTCTGTTGGTTGGGAGTGAATATCCCTGAGCTGATGGGGCCCGGGGACAGCAGGTTGGCCAGTGACGTCGGTCATTTGTCAAGTCCTCCTTTGTGGAACCCGAGCTCTGGGTTGTCTCGAGCACTAGGATTGAACATCCAAAGGTGCTTAGACATCACCCAGTCCAGTGGCTTGAAAGCTTTATTTTTAAGCTTGAGGACCCATTTGTTGACTCTTACTTAAGGCATGATGCAGATGCAAGGGCTGGAGCTGCTCTGGGTGAGATTATAGAGACAGTAGGGCCCCTACCTCCCTCTCCACTCCAAGACACCTCTCAGCGAGCTTTGAAAGACACTCCCTCATTTTAGAGATGGGGAAATTGAGGCTCAGGAAGCTCAAGGTCACAGAGCCTGAATGAGAACCCTTGTCTGTATTCATCTCACTTATTCATTTATTCAGCTGACATTTGCTATGTACTGATCATGCCTGGGAGCCCTGAGTCATTTGCCAGGAACACAGAGATGAAAAAAGCACAGTTCCTGCCCTTGAGGAGGCCAAGGGAGCTGGCGGGGGATGGGGCGCAGCTCAGGAGAAACACAGAAAGACTTCCCGGAGGAAGGCACATCTGAGCCCAGGCCTGAAGGCTGAGTCAGAGTTTGGCAGAGAAGGCATGAGCCACCACGGCTCTCAGGAACCTGGAGCAGCTCAGTGCTGCTGGCGCCCAGGCTTGGGAAGAAGAGGAGTGAGAGGCGAGGGCCTTGGGCTGCCAGGTGGAGGAGCATGGACCGTGGTGGGACCTGGAGGCCTCTTTCAGAAGCATCAGTGTAGTGGTCCTCAGAGAGGCAGGGAGCCCTGGGAGTCAGCAGGAATGCTGGGCCAGGGAGAGAGGGCCAGACCTTTGAGCTGAGTGCCGTGTGCCTCAGCATGATTTGGGCAGCTTGTAAAGATGCACATCCTAGCCTCCTCATTAGAGAGCTGGTGCAGAGGCCTGGGGCAGAGCCCAGGGATCTGCTGGTGTAACACCGAGCCAATGTGATCTTGATTGAGCACCTACTGTGCGTTGGTCTCTGTGCTGGGCGCCATGGAGGAAGGTGGATGGTGGGGGGCAGGGTACAGACAGCCAGTAGGACCAAAAGGTTTATAAGTAAGTGGTAGTACCTATTCAACACGAAATCCCGCAAGCCCTGGGGGTGGGTGAGCACACCCCAGGAATGTCCCCTCTGAGGCTGTCGTGCTCACAGGAAGAGCCGCTGTTGGTTGAAGAGTTCCTCTGCTCACAGCAGGCACCTTACACCTGCGGTCTCCCAATGACTGTGGATATGAGGATGGTGTCCTCATGGTAAAGATAAGGAAACAGAGGCTCAGAGAGGTGACACAGTTGGTCCAGGGATATAGGTAGCAAGTCCATCAGACTCTGAAGTCTACCGAGTTCAGTAATCACTTCCTTCTTTCAGCACTTTACAGTTTACACAGTGCTCTGACCGTGCCCTTCACAGCTTCCCTGGAGGAGGACAATGGTTGACTCCATTTCATACCTGCAGAAACTGGGGTTTGGCCAGCACAGTAGCTCACGCAGGGCCACCCAGTGAGCGTGGGGACAGCTGGCCTCAATCCTAGAACTGCCTGCCTCAGGCTGCCCCCGTCCTATGGAGCGTGTTAGTCCCATCAGACCTGGCACTGCAGAGGTGAGCTGGCCAGGTCCTTGTCCTTAAGGAGGGAGCAGGAGGCAGGCAGCTACACCACAGGATGACAGGGCAGTTGAGGTGAGGGAAGAACGTGTCCTTTGAGGACCCAGAAGATGGACTGACCAGCTCTCACGGGGGGAAGCAGGAGACGACAAGAGCATGTGCCAAGATCAAGACATAAAAGGAACCTGGATTTGAGGGACTGTGTGGCCGAGGCTCAGGGATGTGGAGGGAAGGGCCTGGACCTTCAAGCAAGGAGCTTAGGCATTTCCCAGAGGGCAGGGGGAAGCCTTGGAAGGGTTTAGGGCTGGGCTCAGCACTTGGAGATGAGCCCTTGTCTCCTGGTCGCTCAGCTGAGTGTGCAGTTATGTCTGGTCGAGCCTGAAGGCTGAGCTGGTCTGGGGTCTGGCAGCTTTGGCTGGAGGAGGTTTGGCTGCGGAGCCAGAGTTCTCTCTTGCTGGGCTTCATCCTCAGCTTCACATCCAGCAGCTCTGCAGAAAAACGTCTCCCCTGTCCTTCACGACCTTCTGCCCTCTCACCGTCAGACCTTCCTGCCGGCTCCCAGGGACCTTTTCTGTCCACATCTTGCCAAACCCACAGGGCCTGGTGGGCTGTGTGCGGCCAGCCAGTCAGTACAAAACCTTTCTCCCAAGTCCCTCCGAGCCTGTGCCGGCTTAGCTGTGAGGAGACTCAGTGCCCCCGGGGCAGCACCCACAACCCGCTCATCAGGACCAGCGCGGGCCTGGCCAGAGGGGTGCTCTGAACATCCGGGGCGGCACCCACTCACCTACTGCCTCCGCCACATCATCATCTGGCCACGTGTGCCTGGGAGTTTCCAGAATCACACTTCTTCCTGGTCACGGCCCCTGATCCCCTCATTCAAGGCATGGGAGGCTCTTAGAAATCAGGGCCCAGTCGTCATCAGTCAGATGGAGAGACTGAAGCCCAAGGAAAGGAAGAGTCTTTCAGAGTCATCCCTCTCGAGAAAGCTTCTCTTAGGAAAAACCCTAAGCCAGGCGTCCCAGAGCCCAGAGGAGAGCGGACTGAATCCCAGCTCTGCCACCTTCTCATTCGGAGACCTAGGGACCTAATTCACTTCTCTGAGCCTCGGTTCCTTCATCCACAAGATGGGGATAATAATAGTCCCCACCATGTAAGATTGGGAGCAAGTGCGATCATATCTGTAAGAGCCTAGCACAGGGCCTGGGGCACAGAAAGTGCTCGCAGCTGTGGGTCGTTATTACGACTACACTTACAGAGGTCACTGCCATCGCTTTCCTCCATCTCCTCCTCTTGGTAACTGACCTGGGCAGGTAGCAGTCCTGATCAGAAAATGGAACCGCCTTATGGCCGTACTCACTTGATGTCCCTGGACCACTTGAAACCTCCTCCTGACACTTTACTGTCAAAAGGCGCATCTCATTGACCAGTCAATAATCCTTGACCTGAACTTCAGGGGACTGGCTGTGTGGACGGCAGTGAGGGGTCAGCCGGGCACTTTAGGTGGGAGAGGGAGAGGGAAGGGGGCAGTCCGTCCCTGACCACCCACTGTGTGTCAGGCACCTGGTGTGTGTTAGCCACCTGCCTCTCGAGGTGCTTGGCAAAGCGAAGGGCTTGGCCCGTTGCCTGGTGCTTGATAAGCACTGATGAGGACTGTCATGGTGGCCTGGAGAGGTAGAAAGCCTGCTCTCAGTCAGGCCTGGGTTGCCGGGCTGGTCCACCTCCGCCTAGCTGTGTGATCGTGGGCTCACTCATCTTCACCTCTCTGGCCTCAGTGCCCTCCCCTGGAAAAAGGAGATGATGGTGAGACACCCTCGGGGTGAGGCGAGGCTTTCGTGAAATAAAGCACCCAGTGCCCAGTAGACATTTGCCGCTGCCCTCCTCTCTCACTGCATCCTCCCTGTTCTGAGGAAGAGGTTTTGTCTTTCCCATTTGACAGACGAGGAAACAGGCTCAGAGAGGTGAAGTGAGTTGCCCAAGGTCCCACAGCAAGTAAGTGACTGAGCCAGGATTTGAACCCAGAGGTGGGTCCTGGGCCACCCTCATTCTCCAGGCCTTTGAAGACCTCCAGGGGGCTGCCAGGGTTGGGGGCAGGCCCCAACTGAGCCACCCCCCATGCTGTCCTCCCGCAGGTCATCCTTTTTCAGTACTAACGCTGCCGGCACTTCCGCATCTGTCCGTGGGTGCCCCACAGCTGCCTCTCAGCCGCTGAAACCCGGAGTCCGAGTCGCTGCCAGGGACCCACCCGCTCCGCAGCCACCCCTCATCCGCCATCCTGCCCGCCACCAGCGGGGCCCCCCCCGGCCTGGCCCTCCCCTCTCCTGCTGAGAACCAGAACCTGCTAGGAACACCACGGAGTCCTGCTCCCGGAAGGCAGAGCTCCCTGAAATCTGGAGCCAGGGCGAAACAACAGCCCGGTTTCCCCATTTATACAGGAGTCATCTTCAACTTAAGCTGATTACAATAGCAAAAGGCCGAAATGAATTGCGAGACGTCAACAGCCTTCCAACTGACAGGTTTTCTTTCCTCCCATATTGGCCTTTATTTACTTCTTCCTTGGAACCATCTCTGAATTCTGAATAGCCGACAACCCCCAGTGTTATCCATTCTGTTGCTTTTGTCTGGAAAACTCTAGAGTGTTTGTGGGATGTCCCCAAAGGAGAGCTCTGTTCTAATTTTATCATTTCCATCTGTCTGGTTATGTCAAGTCAATTCAGAGAGAGAAGAGACACTGACCAACCCTGAGAGGCCCAACAGGGCAGAGATGGAGGCCTGCCCAGACCAAGAGGCAGGGGGGTTAAGTGGGGGCTGGGGGTGGGGGTGGGCAAAGCCCCCCATCCATTGGTTTGGCAATCCAGGAGCAGAATGTGGCACATTGGTCTGGGAGAGGCGCTAGCCATTTTAAGGAGAGGAAAGAAGAAACTCGGGGTGGGGCCCTGCTCCCACCTACTTATCCAGCATATGTGCAGGGGACCTAGCAGAGATGGTGTCTGCTCCGTGTGGGGACATTTCTGACTGTTTGGACAGGCTAGAAGTGGGGTCCCTTGTTGGCTACTTGTTGATTCCTGATAGGGGTGCTTGGGCCATGTCTTCTTTTGGGGGAACCACTCATGGGGGTGCTGGGGAACAGAGCCCAGGAAAATAGCAGTCAGGGTGTCCATTCTAGACCCGTCGCTGAGTCCAGAGAGGGTGCCAGCTGCCTAGGTGAGTGTGCCAGGCCCAGGATTCTAGCTGGCCCTTCTGGGCTTCCCCATCAGCCCTGCCCAGAGCCAGCCCCACCCACTCCTGAGGACGCAGGCCAGACCCAGCTGTGCTCACATCCACCCTGTCCTGCTGCAACTCTTCCGCCCCAAACAAAAGGGCTTGGGCTACACAAGACCACGATTTATGTTTTCAGGGGACACCCATTTGTCCCAAGCTTATCTTGTAATTTTAGAATAACTTGGTGTCCTGATGCATTTCCCACTAGAGGCTGCTAGTAAGCATGTTTCAGCCCAAGTCCTCCTTCCTGCTTTGGTTAACCTGATATGTTGCTTTTGGAAGGAGACTCCAGGCCAGGGAAAGCAAGTTCATGATACAAATGTATCTGCTATTCCTGTGTCCACCCATGGCAGACATGGCTAATCGACTGCAGCACTCGCTGTCTCACTGAGGCTGGAGAAGGTTTCAGAATCCAAATGCTTGCAGTTGGCACTGAAAATGAAAACCTATCGGCCATTCTTGCTATGGGACCTGGAGGAGGGCTGGGCCCGGGTGCAGCCCAAGAAGGGAAGTTGCTTCTTTCTCCTTTCAAAGATGGTTTCGGCTGACTCAGGGCAAATAGAAGGCACCCCTCAGAATGTGGGCAGTGCAGCTGGGTGCAGAACTCAGTGAATAACGTGTACCCGGCCCTGCGCTCGGTGCTGATGTTAACAGAAGCAGCTTGGCTCTGATACCAGGTGATTGGGGAGCTCTGATCTTTCCTTTGATTTTTGCTCCCCATGATCGAAGTCCCGAGCACAGTCATGTGGTGAGTGGCCAGCTGAGCCCTGCCCAGGGACACCCAGAACCCACTCTGCCTTGAGCCTCCCCCCCCAGGGTCTGTTCCTTGCGTGGATCACGTGGTCATAGCATGTTGCAGTTCAGACATGTCTCCACTAGCCTATTAGAGCAGCCTGGGAATGTACAGGCCAACAAGACTATTTATTTAAATACAAAACAAAAGGGGGAAAACACACACACGTGGAAAAAAATTGTAAGCACTTTTTTGTAAAACCAATGTCTGTTTTGTTACATACCTTTCATGTTGTGCTTTGTAAATGTCTTATTTGTGTAATAAATAAAGTTAATGCAGGTGGAAGTGCTGGCACTTACATCCAGAGCACGGTGGGATCCCATTTCTTTCCTGCTCTCTGGTTAAGGGCTCGGGCTCAGGCCTGGCCCCCGGAGCACCTGGGCTGCTGGACAGTGAAACCCCTTCCTGGAAGATTGGTTCTGTTTCCCAACTAGTAACTGAGTGTCGTGAAGGCAGGATGGTGGGTCTCTCCCCTAATCTAAGCTTTGTTGGAAGTCAGGCTGGCTGCTGTCCTCTGTCTCGCTGCTGAATGTGCGCTCTGCAGGCTCAGAGGAGGGCCCTAGAGGGGCACCCTGTCAGGCAGATGCTGTAAACAGACGGATCCCTCCAACAAGCTGTCGGGACTGAGGAGGGCATTTGAGCTGCATCCTTAGATGAGAAGTTCACGGAGTAAGTTCAAAAGAGGAAATGCTGAGGGGGCCAGGGAGGGAGGCACAGGGGAGCCTGATTGGAAGAGGGGAAGAGAATTTGATGTGGTGAAGTGAAGGGCATATGGGATGGGAGACAGGGCAACAGGCCTCCAGCTTCAGCACAAGTCCGGGTCTCAAACTGGCCTTGTTGGGTTCCAGAGCCACCACGTAATCTGGGGAGGGAGAGGGCGCATCCTTCTGCTGGTTGCCAAATTTTCCTTTAGCTGCAGAACTGTTTGTTCAAACCAAAGCTCGCCAGGAAGGGAGTGGAGTGGCTCTGGGTGGTGCCGAGGCTCCCCCACCCACCCCTACCGGGCTCCCATCCCCTACAGAGTTGCTCCTGAGCCTCAGCTCCCGGTGGTGTAAGGGGCCATCACCCCTGCAGGGCCCTGCTCTTCATTAGGTGTCGCATTCCCCAGCTCTGACCCCATCCCTGTCCCTCCCCCTCCACTCTTCCAATCCATTTATCAAACGTTGATTTAGATATACGTGTATCTTTGAAAATAGTTTAGTTTAGTTTTAGTTTGTGTGTGTTTGTGTTTCTTTCCACGAATGTAATTTCTATTTTCAAACACAGTTTGGAAACCCCTGGTGGACATCAATCCTGTCATCCTACTGAGGTGACTGTTGCTTTGGAGGGAAGAGATGGCCACAGCCCCCGCCCCTCCCGCCCCTCCATCCACAGCTGAGTGGGCCCCAACCCCCTTGGACTCCTGGCTCTGCCCCAGCATGCTGCTCCGGGGTCCCTAGTTTGAAGGCCAGTTTCCTGCCCCTGCAGACCTTGGCAGAGCCCTGCCAGGCCTGCCTCTCTCTACCGGGCAGCCCTTGGTGAGCCAGAGGACAAGGCATAGGGGGCTGCAGGATCCAGCAACCTCTAAGGAGGGAAAATTATGCAAAGATCCAAGGTGCTTGTGTCCCAAGTATGGCCCTGGAGCATGTTCCACTTCCTCTGCTGGTTTTTCAGCTGGTACATGAGATCTCTGGGAGGTTTTGAAGAGTAATTACCCTGTATGCACAACTAACAATTCCCTCTAAATCAAACACATAGCAAATACCTGCTAAGTGTCAGCCCTTTACTTGTGTTATCCCTTTCAATCCACACAGCTACCCAGTGGTTTTAAGCATCATCATACCCATTTTACAGATGAGGAAACTGAGGCTCAGAGAAGTGAAGTGACTTGCCCCCAGGTTACATGATACTTATGGTTGAGCTGGGATTTGAACCCAGGTATGTATGATGCCAAGGCTGCATTCTTTCTGTGGTACCAGACCGATTCTGTGCTTACAGTACAAGGCTCAGATAGAGAAGCTTCCAAGAAGGAAAGGTGGTCTTGTGTAATCATTCCTGAGCTTACAGGAAGATGCCAACTGTGAGCTGAGGCACAGTCATCCTGACCTACTGCCCTGTGAAATCAAGACTGGGAAGGCAGGCAGTTTGTAGTCAAACAAAAGCAAAAAACAGCTGGGCTTTATCTTCAGAAGGGCTTGGATTCAAATGCTGTGTGACCTAGGGCAAGTTACTCAGTCTCTCTGAACTTCAGATTTCCCCATCTTTAAAAGGTGATGCTAAGCCCTTTCTCACAAAGCTGTTGTGAGGAGCTGAGATAATGTACCCACACTGCCTACACACAATAGCTGCTCATTTAATTACATTTATCTATCATTATAAAGTGATGGTTCTCAAACATCCGTATGTGTGAGAAATACCTGAGGAAGCAAATTGTTAGACCCCCAGTCTCAGCGATTCTGATTGGCAGGTACCAGGGTGGGACTAAGGAATGTCTAGTTCACTATTTTGCCCAGGTGATTCTGATGCAGGTGGAATGAGGGTCCTCCGAGAAATAGTCTAAGGAAAGTACACTTGGGGCCACTGACTACAGAAAGCCTTTATTCCTGAGTCAAAAGTCAGGTTCTAGAACTACAGCCTGCCCTCTGGGCTAGCCAACGCCAGTGGCACAGAAGGAAACCTGGGACAGAGGTGGCTGCAGAACTCACAGCTTAGGCTTGTGACCCATGGTCTCATCCCAGCCCTTCCGACACGTCCGGATGATCCACTCATGCTCGTCGTCATCTGCAAGGGAAGGGGAGAGCCAGTCACACCTGGTGCTCGCAGGGCCTGCCCTGCCATGCCCTGGGAGCCCTCAGGCGGGGTCTCAGGACTGGGATGCTTGTGTGCTGGGGGTGGACTCTGTCGGTGGAGGCAGGCGTGACATCGTCTGGCCGCTCTGAGCTGGGTAGCCCCAGCAGGTGCTCAGAGAACAGCTCGCTCAGACACCTGCCCAGCCCGACATGCACAGACAATGCCCCAGGGACAGCCGGTCCAGGCCTTGCCGGCAGGAGCCAGAGCCTTCAGGTCTTAGTTTCTTTTCTGGGCTTTCCATTCTCGACCCTTCAGTGGGGGCTGACCCCCTCTGTCTGCTCAGGTCTTTTCAATGGGGAATGGAGAGGACGAGCTGTCAGTCCTGCAGGCCCACACACATTCATCTCCCTCAGTTTCATCCTTGTGACCACCCGACAGCAGCAATCCTGCCTTTCCACGGACCAACAGGCTCAGAGGACGAATGGCTTGTCCACCACCGTAGGGTTAGCACTCAGGGGAGCTCAGAACTGGAGCTGAGGGTTGTCTGACTACAAGGCCTGTGCTGTTTTTAAAACTCAGAGAGAGTTGAGTGGGACACATTTCTTAGTCCACAACACACCCCTGTCATCTCTCGGTGCCAGGCCCCTCTGCAGACTGACTTTCTTTTCTTTTTTCCCCTTTATCCTCCAAACCCATGCCCCACCCCTCCCCCAACCACGACAGAGACCCACTCCAACGGTGGGATATATATCCCTAAAAACGCATGTAGCTCTGCAAAATATGTATTGTTGTTTTGTACGCAAATGTGGTTTTAATTTACATAAACAGCATTGTGCTGTGAATTTCATTGTACTTCACTTGTTTCACTCAACGCTGTGTTTTCAAGATCTATTCTTGTTGCTCTGCGGACATCTCGTTCTTTGCTTCTTGCTGCTGCCTGATATTCCATGGTAGGCTTCCGTCACGTTTTACGACCCATCCCCGCAGTGGTGGACACGAAAGTTGCCTCCACCTCCAGGTACCAGGGATGATGCTGGGACAAACATTTTTGGGCACAGCTCTTCGTGGAGACGTGGGAGAATTTCACTGGGGTTATATTCCAGGGGGAGGGTCACGGAGCCATGCACATAGTTCATCCACCAGGACTCCCAGTAAAGCCCGTGTTTTTTCCCCAGCACCACACTGCCTGCCTGTGGTGCTCCCTTGTTCCAGCCTTCCCTCTTCGTGGGGACAGAGAGGACTGGCCCCAAATCCCTGCCCTCAAGCAGTTCTCAGGATGCCTCCTGTCTTCACCCCACACCCAGCTCAGTATCTCCGACCTAAGAGATCAGAGGATGGAAGTACTCATCCTCTGTGGGTGACAAATGGCAGAAGCTAGAGAAAAAGGACACCCCTGAGAATTGAAACATGGAGGGCTCACAGAAATCCTGCCCTCTGAACCAGAGTCCTCGTCCTGGGGGGGAACCCCTGCCTCTTCTGTGATAGCATCGAGCCTTGCTGACAGCCTACTGTGTGCTCTGTGCTTTAAAAATGATCGCCAGGTTTCACTGAGTCCTTTGTGAGAGCCCAGTAGGGGAGGCGAGATTACCCCCATTTCAGAGAGAACAAGCCCTACCTTGTGTCCACGTCCAGTGGAATTTAAGCCAAGGCTCATCGGTCTCCAGGAAGCCTGACTTTCCACCTCAGAGCAGATCTGATGGTGCCAGAAGGCAAGGCTGTCCCCCAGAGCTGGCCTCCTCTGTCCCCCACCCCGACTATTTCTTTGTCTGTGACTGTGACCTTGCTGCCTGCATGCTCTGGCCCTTGAGGGCGGCCCTCAGAGGCCAGTGGGCTTCAGTTTCCCCTGGGAAGGCTGCCTGGGAATTCGCCCACGGCTGCCAACCTCAGGGGCCGGGAGAGCGGCGGCACACAAGGAGTTAAGCGCTGGTGAAGCCCACTTTTGCCACACCGCGAGCAGCCTGGTTGATAATTACAGTTCTGAAGTCTCCAGGCTATTCGAATCAGTGCAGCTGCAACCTCTTCAGTGGTAACCCTGAAACCAGACAAACTGGGTTCATTGTGCTGAACCAGTCCTCAGGCCCCTCCCTGATCGTTAGAAATTGACAGCAATGGACTTAACAGCCCTCTTCACTACCCCCTTTCACTCTCTACCTGGCTGCACAGCCACCAATTTGAATCACAGATGCCTCCCCTCCCAGCAGCTGCTCACCAACCCTCCCTCCACCTCCCCTGCGCCGCGCTGAGGCTCCCCTGGCCCGGCCACGCCAGGGTGAGGCTGCCGAAGCACATTTCATCAATATTTAAAATGGAATTAAACCTGCCGCTTTGATGAACGCCTCCCAGATCCCGGGAGTTGTGATTACTATTTTGCAAATTGCGATTGTTGGAATATGTTAATATGATTGTCTGAGAACATCTTCACCTTCTCGGATAATTTCCTCCCCCTTTTTGGCAGGAGGCAAGGGGGAGAGGAGGGAGGAAAAAGATGGGAAAAAAACACTCGCAAACTCTTTAATCAATTGTAAATTATTACCCTC